GGGGTTTTTTTCTCTGGCCGAAGGACCACACAAACGAACATTGTGGCCCACGAGCAGGACAACAACAAGACAATCAGACATCATCCCCAACATAGGAAAGTCACATGAATATCTGAAATGGAATATTACATAGAAGAATAGGAACGTTATGTTGCGAAACAAAACAAAAAAAAAATACAAAAGGGACAAAACTGTTATCAGTGAATTCATTTATATCAGCTCAACTACAGTAATCCCTTTTTTCAATGTATATGATGATGACAAACCCTTACATACCGCAACCAATATCATTACAGCAGCCAAAATGTTCAATGAATCAAGGGTTTTGACTGAATATTTTGGTGTATATTTGAGCAGCAAACTAATGAAAATCCTAATATTAGCACGACAGACGTTAGAAAAAAATCAGAAATCTGCTTGTAAGATCAGGTAATCTGCTTACAGAATCAAGAGGAAAACAAGAGAATGTAAAACACGAATCCATATACTTTTAATGTTATCAATATGAAACATCTATTTTATTTACACAACAGTGGGCATTAAAGCATACAACAGTAAAACGCTTTTCAAAGAAAAAAGATAAATAAACTGTTATTTCAATGCCAGCATTAGTTTTGAAAAGATAACTTTATTCTGATGACACCTCGTTCTGGAAGAACTACACTCATACCTCATTTTTATGGACTCTTTTAAATTCAAGTATCAAGGAACACCTGTGATACTGCTCAGTCTGGGCTTTCCGTACAAACTGGCAGAAAAAACTGACTTAGTGGCAGCGAGTTATTCGCTTTTGACTATGTAAAGTCATTTTTCGCCAGTTTTAGACACCGTATATGGTTCCATCCTTGGCCACTACTGAGTCGAGTGCAGGGCGTGACAATGAGCAGTGGATTTCAGTGAGCGCTTTTTGGCTGTCTAATGTGGCTTGTGTTGCAAACTGCAGATTCAGAAATTGACGAGTGGCCTGTTGCCTGTTACCAGAGCTGGTGGTGCCATATATACTTATTGTGTGTGCAACTACTGATTTGCTGAAAATGCTGCTAACAGCGGCAAACGCTGACGCACTGCCTTTCCGGTGCTGGAATGTTTGTGCAGGCACTTCTGAAGGCTACCTTATACATTTAATGCATTATCACTAAACTAAACATAATTCCCTAAACTAGCATTATCAAAACTAGTCTTTGAATGAGTTCACAAGGGACTGATTAGCCTCCTGTGTGTGGCTTTTGCTAGCACAGGAAAGGGGCAAATATGGGGTGAAATGTATACTGTGATTTTGGAATCACCATTACCTGACCGTCTCTAGATAATGAAATTGGGTCGGCAGTGGCTAGTGCCATAATTTCCATGTGTAAAAGATTAGGAAAAAAAGCACTTTTTATCAAGCAGATAGGCGCTAAACCACCAGGGTTATGACCTATTTACAACTCTTTGCAGTCATCCTAGAAAGAGGTTCCCAACCAGGAGGCCTGAATAATGTAGACAGGATTGTCATTTTTTTCCCCTTAGCCAGGCTGCATCAGCCTGAGATGTAAGAAACCAACAGTTTACATACAAATAATCCGGATCTGTAAAACAGATGTGCACACCAGTCCTGGAACAAGGTCAAAGTCCAGGGGTGGCCGAACCAGGACTTCTCGCACGAGTTTACAGCTGATAAATGCAAAGAGGAAGACAACCAAGAGGAATATTTCATGTTACAATATGAAACACCTATACTACCACAAAGACTGCTAATGCTGGCTGTATTTACCACCTTCAGGTGCCTGGCTAGTGCTGCAGCCATGCACTGTGCAGGTTGGAATTTTATTTTTGCCGACATTTAAAAAAATCCCCAACTATTCCTAGGAATTGAAGCCGGGTCTCCCAATATCTGTACACTAATTATATTTAAACTGAGCTGCAATTTTATATCAAAATCATACTAAATAGGCTTCTGGCTATTCTGTCAGTTGCTCTGTTAAAAAGCTGGTCCGTAAACCGAGGTATGAGTATACTTTGCTCCCGCTTTGTTACATTCAAAACTTTACCTACCCAACAAACAAACAAATTACATAGTAAACTATGTCCAGAGCCTCTATCTGTTGCAGAGAAAACAATACAACTGTCATAATTGTATAGCCCAAGTTTTTAATTCATCAGCCAAAGCAGACATACAGCAATCTGGACATTCTGTGAAAGATCTGCATCTTTCTTCCCCGTAACCTCAAGTGCACAAGTGTATTACCTTCAATATCAATGATCAGACCTGCTTGCATTAAAAAGCCGACAATTTTCACTTGTCTACTGCTGCAGATGTAACCTTTTCAAACCTTTAAATGTGAATATCAGCACCTTAATTTAAATTCCACTTTGTAATTATTAAGACTTCATTTATTCGTTGCATACTTAATCTCCGGGACTAAAAGTCTGACATTCCTGTAACCCAATAAGCCATACGGATATTAATCCGACAGTCACAGATCGCACACAGAATGTCTAAACTGATCAGCCATCATGTCTTGAAACAAAAATCTGATTCAACAATAAAACTAAAAAAAATCAATTCTTGATAGAAAGAGAACAAAAATAAGGGTTAATGATAAGGAAGACTCTATCACAACCCGTTGGTGAAAACAATGATGGCGAAGGCAGGCCCGTAGCAGAGCTGTCCGAGAGCCCTTCAAATATTCTAGGCTGTTAAGTATGAGGTGACAATGAAAACAGCCTAGATTGGCAGTATCATACATATAACACACACATCATCATGTAGCAGGCCCTTTACACAATTCGCTTTCATCATGGTCTGCCAGACTGAAACTCCCCTGCCACTTTTCCTGCCTTATGCACTCTCATACCCAAGGAGGAGTCACTCTGCGCTGGTTGGCCCTTGCCTCTCTATCCTGGCACCATACCTAATGCTTTTTCTCCAATCCATCGTGGCATTTGTTATGGCAAAACATTTCAGCTTCTGAGACAAGATGCTGTATATTATTCAATCTTCCTTGATATTCATTTAGATCTTTTAGGATGTCGCTTTGTTCTTTTCCTCTTTGCCCACGGTATTCTGGGAAACACTATAGCATTTCAGCTTAATAACCCCTATTTTCTTCCTTGAGGACTGCAATATTTCATTTACCAGCCACAAGTACCAAAGAAATGCTACAATGACATCTGCCATACACAACATATTAACAAGAGGGCCATGTTTGCCACAACTAATAAACATTAGCAGATAATGTTAACCAATTGTTGTCACAACTAATAAACATTAGCAGATAATGTTAACCAATTGTTGTCACAACTAATAAACATTAGCAGATAATGTTAGCCATTTGTTGTCACAACTAATAAACATTAGCAGATAATGTTAACCAATTGTTGTCACAACTAATAAACATTAGCAGATAATGTTAACCAATTGTTGTCACAACTAATAAACATTAGCAGATAATGTTAACCAATTGTTGTCACAACTAATAAACATTAGCAGATAATGTTAACCAATTGTTGTCACAACTAATAAACATTAGCAGATAATGTTAACCAATTGTTGTCACAACTAATAAACATTAGCAGATAATGTTAACCAATTGTTGTCACAACTAATAAACATTAGCAGATAATGTTAACCATTTGTTGTCACAACTAATAAACGTTAGCAGATAATGTTAGCCATTTGTTGTCACAACTAATAAACGTTAGCAGATAATGTTAACCAATTGTTGTCACAGCTAATAAACATTAGCAGATAATGTTAACCAATTGTTGTCACAACTAATAAACATTGGCAAATAATGTTAGCCATTGTTGCTACAACTAAAAAACATTACCAAATAATGTTAGCCATTGTTGCTACAACTAAAAAACATTACCAAATAATGTTAGCTACTCAACCTCATAAACAATTCACCCACAACTTTCAAGAAAGGAAATATTAGCAAAAGCTAACTCTTACGTTTCAGGAGGAGAATAAATCAAGCTTTCTGTCTTTTCAGTTTTTTTTATTTTCAACAGAGGCAGGCAAATTATCAGATTAACAGATTCAAGTTTTCAGTCAGATCCACAAACTACAGAATTATTACCCTGGGAGTAAAACTATATACAATCTGATGAAAAATCTGCCATATATGCCTCCCAAATATCTACCTTTAACAGCTACATCTACTCCATACTAGTATTTTTCATAAACTGAACACCCCCAAAAATCTAACAGAAACTATATATACTCCAGGCCAAAACTAAGTAATTTTCACTATCTGAATTTTTTTTTTTTTTATCAACTCCGAACATCTGCTCCAAGCTAAATCTATTTACTTTTCTTAAACCGACCGCCAACCTCTCCCCAAAATATACTTTAAACATCTACTTTAGTTTAGTGCAATATAATTTTCTATACAAGACTAATTTTCAGTTCAACGCGATCAATGTAATTTTTTCCAGAAATCTACAAATTTTTCGGTTACATATATCCCCAGTTCAAAAATATGTAATCATCCTTTAAACGAGATGCAATTTTAAATTCAATGCTATGTACTTTCTTAAACTATCTTCCAAAAATCTACTTTAAACATATACATGTACTTCGATTTACTGTTTAACACTGTTACTGGGTAATTCTGCAGCACAATGTCTGGTTCATGCCAAGTATTTTTCCTTAAGGTTCTTCCAAAAATCTACTTTAAACATCTACATATACTCCAGTTTTTTTTTTTTTTGAGTAACTTTCCAGGGTAATTTCCGATTCAATGCAAGTGTTTTCCTTAACGATCTTCATAAAATCAACTTTAGGCAGTTACATCTACTCCAGTTCAACATTTTTTCAAAAACAAATCCAACATTCTCTTCAAGTACAATGCAAAACTTAATGTGCAATGGTGAACTGGAAACAGCGAGACAAACGATGAACGTATGCACATAGAAGAAACATTTCCCTGCAACATGCATCAAGAAAGCATACATCAGATTTGGGAGAAAAACATTTGAATAGAATGTGAAAGTGACTAACAGTTCAGTTATTTTCAAGAAGCTTCTATTTCCTCATTTTCCCGCAGCCATGTAAAGAACTGAGTCAGCTGCATAGAACAGGCGCCTTTGCCTTCAGCCTCCAGTGGGTCCGAACTCTTTTCCCATTGTTTAAATGCTTCCTCGCTGATAACCTCCTCATCGTACAGCACGTCAAATATGTTTGCTATGACACCTGTATTGAATTAAATATAAACAGTCGTTATACAGGGAAGAAAGAATATAGTTTGATCATTTAGGTATTGAATTAAAATATTTAACCACACAAGATCACTGTACTGATCAGTAATTTCCTAATCTGCTATGCCGCTGTACCTAATTAATCAGCCACCCACAAAAAGAACCCTACCCTTAACGGATAATCCCAGTCAATCCTTTTCATTTCCCTTGGGACATCATTTGATCTTTGTTGTGGTGCTCGGAAAAGCCTTCCAGGTGCAAATAGTAAAATCCTGGAGTGTTTTACAAAGACAATCTATGCAAGAAGGGAAGAGCAACATCTGGTGCTTACTTTGCAAGAAGTACCTCTTTGTGAAACAAGGCTCATCAGGCTGGGTGGATTGGCACATAAAGGTGGAATATTGGTGCTAGATGAAAGGTAAACCTATTTTCTACAATATCTTCAAGTTTTATCTGATTTTAACCAATTGTTGGCATGTAACTAACATTTGTGTATATCATGTTGGTTTTTCTCTTTAATGCCCAGGAGCCCAGGTATAGGGGACAGTTAGTTTCAGGGCCTCAGGTCTGGTAGGGTTAAGATGAAGAAAATTGTACTTTCTTGCCAAAAATCAACTTCTAAATATCAAACATATAGTCCTATCTAGGTAATTTTCACGTAATGTTATTTACAACAACAAGCAAATAATATTAATAAAACAATAAAGTTAATTAAACTGGCAGAAATAAATGATTTTTACTTGTAAATTGATGAAGTATGTAATCACCAAAACATAACAAGCATGATGCAAGCATTTCACTTTAAAAAGCTAAACTATGACATCAAGGATCAAGAGGAGGCAGACCAAGAGAAACGATGATGAATGGACTGCGACGGTGGCATAGAGGGATGTCATCGGCGGAAATGATATAGAGAACAAGGGACGGAGATCTGTGGAGAGACATGAACGCCTACGCTAGTCGGCATGTGATGATGAAGGGATCAAAGCTCAACTATGGGATGGGATGCCATCTAACTGGACTGAAGTTTTATTTATGGAAACCAAGGCCAGCTCCTGATATAACAACTGGTATCAAGTAGATTTATGCACAAATTGATCTACAGTTTAATTAATTTGCAACATGTGTTATTGAATTAATTTTCATTTTGTAGATAAATATTTTCTTATAGCCCATTTATTTAACTACAAAATAATAATTTATTCAATAATATGTCGCAAATTAATTAAACTTTAGTTCAATTTGTGTATAAACTACTCGATAACAACTTTTACCAACGACCGGCCATACTAGTGTGTCACATTTCGTGTGTCACGGCCACAAACAGGACCTTAGAAGCCGTAAGGTGAAAAACTGGTGCCAAAAAGTTATTCTAGCTGGAGAAAACTACAGATTTAACAAAGAACTAATGTCGAAAACTACAGATTTAACAAATAACTAGTGTGGAAAAACTACAGATTTAACTACGAAAAAAAATGTGAAAAATTACAGATTTAACAAAGACTAATATGGATGTGTTCTCTATAGACAAGCACTATTTACCTGAAGGGTGCTCCAATTTATGCATGAGAGCCTGAATTGCGTACAAGGCTTGCAGTTCCAGGTCTGGGTTACTCTTTATGTACCGCTGCAGTACAGCTTTATGTGTCTTTACAACGTCCTCATTGAATTTCATGGTTTCAGCTGGTGAGGAAAATGTACATATTACTTCAAATATCATATTAAGTGTTAAAAAAAAAAAACTTACAATAAGACCTTCTAACATGAACTTGCTTAAGATAAAACAGTTAACATGAATAAAACTTATTTATTATTAGTCTGAGGTCAGCACATATTTGTGATTTCTCTTTTACTTACTAAGGTGATCCTCTTCTACCATGGGGTTTAGAAAATTGCCAGAGATTACAGTCTCTTGAAATTGACGCAAGCAAGGTTTTAGTGTATTTAGCTTTCCCTAAATTGTTTTGGTTGGCACCTTTTTGTTTTTCCTGACAAGTGTATTACAATGTTTTGTAGGGAGTCCGGAAATCACAGCCCGCGCCATTGACAAATAGTGAGACTTAATTTAATTCTTCTTCACTGTAAACTCCGGCTTAAAGTCCTGGGTGTTCGTCTACCTCCAGACATCCGTATCACAGGTCTGGGCTATTTGTATGCACACTCTTGGTTGCCTGCCTCTCAGGCAGATTTAGTTCAAAAGATGTCCACAATTGGTTGACTCCTATGAATATTATGTGGTCAGGCCTTAATCTCTTCCACAGTGCAACTCACTCCTGTCTGAAAACTACGAGTTGAATCAAAACTAACCTGCCCTCGTGGAAACAGAACTCCTGGTACTTCCAGTGTGGGTTCTAGAGAAAACAAGAACAGACCCACTGCCTCTCAAAGAACGCAGCAGTCAACTAAATGAGTGGTTTATTTCAGTGGGAGTGCAGCTGCCTGAGAGGCAAAGAACCAATAGGCTGCATAAAATTAAGCCAGAGCTAAAAAACAAATGTGCACATGACACTCATGTTCTGAAAAAAGCTAAAGTCTAAAGGTGGCCCCCCAAAAAAAAACCAGAACCTGCTGCCAGAGTTTACAGTCAGTGACTGCAAAGAAGAAGAACCCTGGTCCTCAGGGATCATGAAATTGTTAAACACATTCATTAACCTCTAGGCCCGAGAATAAAACATACTTACTTGGTATGGAAGCATTCACCATGGCGGTCACCAGAGATCGTATAAATTGTCTATCCTGTTTGTCAGCCCCAACCTTGGCCTGAAACACAAACGTGAAAATAGGATATTATGGTCTCTTCTGTAAAAAAAAAAAAAAATATATACTTTGTGTGTGTCCAATCATGTTTTGTTTTAGCATTTTTTTTAAGGCCATGATGAATCAACCCTGTTTTATTCCATCAGTTGTCTCTTGTGTGTGTTTGTTTGGACATCTCGGTGCAGCTTCATATTTGTGAGCTGGTATATGTGAGAAAAGGATCTGCCCTCTTGTATTTGTCTGCTTCTACATCTCTGTGCAGCTTCCTATATGAGAGCTGGCACATGTAAGACAAGGATCAGTCCTCTCGTATTTGTGAGCTGGTATATGTGAGACAAGGATCTGTCATCTCATATTCGTATTTGTGAGCCGGCACAAGTAAGACAAGGATCTGCTCTCTCGTATTTGTGAGCTGGTACATGTGAGACAAGGATCTGCCCTCTCGTATTTGTGAGCTGGTACATGTGAGACAAGGATCTGTCTTCTCATATTCGTATTTGTGAGCTGGCACAAGTAAGACAAGGATCTGCCCTCTCGTATTTGTGAGCTGGTACATGTGAGACAAGGATCTGCCCTCTCGTATTTGTGAGCTGGCACATGTGAGAGAAGGATCTGCCCTCTCGCATTTGTGAGCTGACACATGTGAGACAAGGATCTGCCCTCTCGTATTTGTGAGCTGGCACAATTCCTTGTATTTTCCCTTGATAAGTGTTTTGATCTCTGGTAATGACAATGAATTTAGCAGCAGGCAGTTTTGCAATGATTTCAACAATAGACTGAAGCACCAATCGTTCAGAAAGCAATGGCAAACTACTAAACCTAAACCCAAGTAAAAATGCTAAATGCTGTAAGCAAACAGTTAAAAACCTACAAAACAGCCGAAAAATGCCAGGGTTAGACCTACAATGCGCTGTAAAGGTTACACAACTATCTTTTCAACAAACTGTACACAACTATCTTTTCAACAAACTGACAACATAACACATGAACACACATCTCATACTTACATCCACGTATGCAAATATGTCACTACTTGTTCCACTCTCTCGTATAATCCTCTCAATGTCTTCTATCAGCTCCACCTGGCCATGCACCGGCACCCGGGCAGGTGCTCTGGCAACCTGGCTAACTGTGAACTCCAGTCTTTTGTCCTTCAAAAATCTATCCACCTCATCCGCAGGCAGGAAGGTCGTCCACACCAGACCGCTATTCTGCCACATTAGGGCTACTTCATCTTCACCCTGGATAACAAAAACCGAAAAGTATAATTACAAATCTCCAAAAATATGCATAAATTAATTAATTTCCAGAGGAGTAAGATATTAAAAGTCTATGGCTAAGCACCAGTAAGGAAATCAAAGTCAAACCTTTGAAATCATGCGTATTCTCTGTAGCAACATAAGAATGTTTTTAGATTATCTGGCAGATTCTTTGAAAACCATGGACAAAGAAGAAAATACTGATAAAAGATCTGAAAATCAAGGAAAAAGCATCAGCAAGGAAATCAAAGCCAAAATTTAGAAAGCATGCTTCTTTCCTGCAACAATTTAAGGATGTCAGTCGTGGATATCTCGCAAAAGAAAAAATGGGCTTCTGAGATGAAATGCTCAAGAAATATTCTCTGAATACCAGAGACAAAGAAAAAGGAAAATACAGACTTCCTAAAAGATCTGAAAATCAAGGAAGAAGCTCCATCAAAGAAATCAAAGCCAAAGCAACATTTGGATGTGAAGAAAAAACATTACTAAAAGCCTAAAATATCTGAACATCCAAGATTATTGGCCAGTAAGCAGTAAAAGGAAAAAAGCAGAAGGTTTGATACCAGCATAAAGATGGGCTGGCAATAGGCTGAATTCCTTTCAGACAGACCACAATGGGAGAGATGTTCTGTAGAGCATTAAGAGTCAAGGTCAATAACTGATCCGTTGATGTGCCAGTGGAAATCAAATCATACCAGATGCCCTTCACTGTCCTACTTGAAAAGTAGCAGCTACAAGACATAACTAATTGTTAACACAAGAATATACTCAATAATTATAAACTCTTCAGAGAAACAATATTTAGAAAACTCGTCAGAAAAGTATAGTTCTTTTTCTTTCGTTCGCTTTAAATAGATTATCTATATCTGCAATGTCGGCTCTGTGGCTAAGTCGATGCGAACGTTTCGCTTCGAAATGTCGGGTTCGATCCCAGTTGTGGGCAATGCGCCTTGTGTTGGTTTCGACAGTGGTATCAAGAAAGCTGACCGCCCAGAAAGCAATGGCAAACTACTAGACGTAAATTTGCCAAGAGAAACCACACAACAGCCAGGAGCTTGTTAGGGTTGGTTCTGCAATGTCCTGTAAAGGATATGCAACTAACTTTTTTGTTGTTGATATCTGCAATGCTGTCTCTAGTATGAACTTCACTGTCTTTTGTAATTCACTCAGTGACCCGTATTAAAGTTTGACTTGCACCGATGTTTCTCTTGGCAAAAAGTTTTGCCTTGATATATTGTATTTGGGATAGTCTTGCAGGACATGATCTGTTGTTTTAGGTGCCAATCCATATATGCATATGGCTGATTCGTCAATTTTAAATTTTGTGTTTATGTGGCTGCGAAGTCGATTTGTGTCCTTTGTTGGTACACAAAATAATTACAAAGTCCTCAAAAAAGTATACAAAATTTCCATGTGTGGGCTCAATTCTGGGTGTGGGGAAAAAATGAAAAGATACTCTTTGTAATAAGTTTGTCGCAAAATTCGACTAATGGGGAGGAAGGGTAATCCGGTTGGACTATATCAGCTTAAGAGATGAACAACCAACAGTCTGCATACAAATCAGTCAGATCATTATAAACTCAAGGTGGAAGTTCAGAAGTGGATGACCAGCCAGACTCAGTGGAGTTGTATTATGCAAACCCAGTCTTACCACCCTCTAATATGTTGGACTGTCCTGTGATGTCATATGGGGGTAGGATATTAATAAAGCCCCAAACTAATAATGAAACAAACAAAAAACAGGTTAGCAAACTTACAACTTTATCCTTGGCTAGCTGAAGAATTTCTGCTACAAGTTTGGCACAGCCTCTTTCGCCCAAAGAAGGCTTCAGGGTAGCTGGCAGTGATGCCCAAGACAGAGAGCCACCAATCAACATGGGAAGGATAATCTGCGCCAAATAGGACCACATCATTGGGACGTCGATGACCATATCTTCTGCATACTGTAATACATCTGACAGCCTGTAGGGTTCAACAAACACATTTATAACAATATGTAACAGTGCCAGCCACAACCTAATGTAACAATTAAGCCAGGGTTACCCAACAATTTTTAAATCACATAATGTTAAAAGAGGCTCACCACATTAACAAAAAAATTAATACAAAAAAAAAAATTCTGGCGCGTCAGAAACATGATTTTAAAGTTTTCATTTCCTAATTTATTTTTTCAACGCTACCTCTGCTATTCTCATTACAGCTATAATAATTTTGTTTTCCTTCTTTAACTATAAACTGTTAACTTGGAAAGCTTAACACATGATTTTAAAGTTTTCATTTCCTAATAATACAGCTATACATTATTTTGTTTTCCTTTTTCAAAACTAACAGCTCAGCACTGTTCAGTAACCCCACAGAAAAGCACACCTGCGACCTTAATTAGAGCGCAACACAGTGCTGGAAAATCGTGCTGTTAATCATAACCTAATGAAACACTTTAAGCCAGGGCTATTAAAAAAAGTTTGCTCACGGGCCAAATTGTGAAAACCAGGATCATCACGGGCCAGAAGCCCAAGCCACAAAATTTGTAAGATCATTATTACTATACACCTGGCAATGATCTGCAGGCCACTTGCCAGACCTCTGGAGGCCAGATTTTGCCTGTGAGCTGCCAGTGAAATAGCCCTGCAGTAAGACATAACCTCATGTAACACACTAGAACAGTTTGAGCAAAAATTGACATTTGACATGATGAAAATCATTCTAGGCAATCTTTTTTTTTTTTTTTGCTCACTGAAAGAGAGAAAGAGAATTAACAGCTATATAAATCCCATCCTGATATATGGAAGTACAAACATAAACAGTTGGTTTAACATAAATTATCTAAAAACTGCAGAGATGTGGTTTTATAGACAAATGATGAGAATACCCTGGAGAAATAAAAAAAAAGAAATCAAGATGTTTTGGAAAAAAAAAAATTCACGAAGAAAAACGATTTCCCACATCTGAAGGAGAGAATCAACATTCTTTTGGTCATGTCATGATAAGGAGAAACGTGTACATTGAAAGAGTGGGAAGGTTCGAGGGGAGGAGAGGTGAAGGGAGACAGAGACAGAAGATGCTAGATAGTCTGACATAATGACATGGAAGATCATATGTGTTAGAGTTGGCCGCAAGTAAAAAAGATAGAAGGATGCAGATAGACATGACTACCAAGGCCACACGGTATGGACTTGAGAAGAACATTAAGCCGCAAAATAATATTAATACTGTAGGCCATGACCAACTTCTAATGCTAAGCCATAACCTAATGTAACACTAAGCCATATAACCTATTATAAAACAAGCTTCTAGAGCAAAGCCATAAACTAATATAACACTGTAAGTCTAACACTAAGTCATATAACCTCCTGCAACATTGTAAACCATAACTAACTCCTAACACTAAGCCATAACCTAATGTAACACTGTAGGACAGAATTAACTTCTATCACTAAACCATAACCTAAAGTAACACTAAGCCATGTATGCTAATGTAATACTGTAAGAAAGAACCAACTTCTAACGCTAAACCATAACCTAATGTAACACAAAGCCATATAACCTAATGTAATACTGCAAGAGAGAACCAACTTCTAACGCTAAACCATAAGCTAATGTAACACTGTAAGCCCAACACTGAGGCCATATAACCTAATCTAACCCTGTAAGCCATAGCCTACTTATTTTACTTACCCTCTTAAATAGACATCCATTGAAATGCGACCGTCCTTAACCATTTCATGCAAGAATGAACCTGTGAGGTCCCTGTCCTTCTTTGACCGTTCCAGTACCTCATTCACGCAGGAAGTGACAAACACATGGAGGTACTGCTGACCCCTCAGTTCTCTCAAACACAACTTGGCCTCCTGGTCAACAAAGTTAATACAATACAAATTATGATTCGAACATTCTAGTCACTTTTCTAGATGACTGTATGATAGAGAATGTCAATATTGCCACTGGATGGTCTAAACCAGGGGTCATCAGCAAGTTTAGGCCTGCGACCCACGAAAACAGACAACTTGTTTCACGGCCCACCTGACAACTGACCAAACACAGAATCAAAATGTTAACTCTTTCAGTCCCGGGGGAAGGGGTAGCAAAGAGAGATGTAAAATCGGCACATCTTGGGTTCACTGGGCCTCTAGATAGGAACTTATGAACACACAATGCGTTCCTTGGGTCTTAAAAGAGTAGAATAATAATTTGACAAAGCTGTATGGTACATAGGGAAATCTGGACTACATAATAGCTTTCACAATGGCTACTGGCCTTTTGATTTGTCTTCTGACAAAAGGATAGAGGAAAACTGATGTCACAAAAATTAAAGTTTTTTTTAGCTATTGCTGCAAATGCTCATAATTTGAAAGATATGTGCGGCTGAGAGGGTTTCTTGGATTACTACCTGTTTTATCATCATCCTTAATGTGATTATCCTAAAGACTGCACTCCTAGAGGAGATAAACTACCTGCCCTGAGTTATCTTTACAGCACTCAAGACACATCCACAGGTGCTCAGATTCCCTCTAAACATATTCATCAGCGTCATGCTGTTAAGGCCACATGACTATGCCGGTTGACAAGAGTTTTTGTGTGCGTCCGGTGTGCTTCTCATGCTTTGCTGTGCCAATCTTTACTCCTGATTCTTGTATTCTTAGTAGTGATGTGGACACATTGCTGCCAAAATCCTCGGTTGTATGATGAGACAAACATTTGTGTCAGTCCACCCAGACCAGTGGTTCTCAACCTAGTACCTACGATGGTATAATGACTAGGCGCTCGACTGTTGCCCAAAATGTCTGTTTTTCAAATCCACATCAAGGTAGGACCCCCCCCCCCCCCCCATTTTTTGCTACCAGGTCAACCCAGCTTATGATGGGCACCAGGTAATGCCTGGAAGGCAAAGGCAGCCAGCGTGGTGTTAACCACAATCACCCAAAAAGTGTAAAATGGTCTAGAAAATAAAACTACAAGTCTAGCATACATCCTGAGGCACGAATGATTTGAAGACAGTCTTCAACTTTTTTTAAAGACTTGTTATGTGTGTAGTACCCAAAAAACATAATAATGGGCTGTTAAATACAGAAGAGTTAAGGCTAATATCCAGGACAAGAGCAAAAAAAGAACGGCTAAAAACCCTGCAAATTTTAGGGGAAAGAAATATAAATCTTGGCTAAAGCTGCAGAGAAGTCGAGAGGTTGTCACTCCATCAAGATAGGTTTAATAGGAAACTTTTTTTTTTAAAAGGCAATTGGGTAATTTTTGCTGCAGTACAAGTAAAAATACAACCAACAGGTTTCAGGTACTAACCCCAAGATCAAGCACACTAAGGTACTCTTCTAGAATAGTCTTGGCCTTGAACTCCATCTCACTTTCGGACAACGGCCTGACTAACTTCAACCCCTCCTCCTCCGGCCCTGGCACTGCAGTGGCCCCGACAAGTGGAGGCACTGCCGGCACCAGGAATGGATCTGCGTTGGGCTGCATGGAGATGTCACTCCTGGTCATGACGTTGTCCCTCTCTCGAGAGCCTCTGGGCGGCAGGGTGTTGCGCCGGTCCTCACGGTTCCAGCTGTTATCCCTACTAGAGTTCTGAGATCTTCCTCCAACTATGGTCCTGTGGATGGAGGGCAAATTGTACAAACTGGTTTTATGATGTTTATTAACAACAGAGATATAGCAAAAGAATTTATTGTCCAAGAGGCTCAGCTGCTACAAAACTAATCTCTTCTTAGCATTCATCGATTACAACTTCTTGTGGAAAGTTTTGATTACTCATCCATCCCTCCAGGACTGCAGCCTGTAGGATTTGCATATCAAGAATGAGAATCACACAGGCACAAATTCCAGAAACCATGTTACAGCCATATAGCAGATATGGCACCACAAAACAGTTACGAAACAACCTGTAGTCCAGTAAAGGTGGGTCGAATATAACAGATTTTGTTCCGAGGTTTTGTATGCAACTCTGTTTTAACAGGTCTGGCTATTTTTTGAATTCAGATGATTAGTAAAGTGCCTCTCAGACAGATGTACTCCGACCAAAGGAAACACTACTAATGAATTATTTTTTATATCTAGTGCTGTCACAACGACTGTGCAGGTGAAATTTTTCAAATACCAACCTTGCACTGGCCAAAGCATCTCTCCTGTCTCCCTCCTGACTAGATCTGGCCAGAATCTTGCCCCGACCATGGCCTGCAGGTGGCCCTTGCCTGGTGTTCCTGTTAGGTAGACTGCTACTGTCGCCTCGTGATGGAGACCTCTGGTAGTTCCTGTGGTCCTCTTCACCACGCAGAGCTGAAAACCTGTGAACGAGTCATTCAACATTCTTCATATAAATAAATAAATAAATTTATATTTATATATATATATATAAACAGACAATGTACTAATCGGCACTCATAGAAAGAAGCAGAAAGACAGGATACACTAGACAACATAAAAACAAGTGCTATAGTTACTGTGCATCCGGTACAACCTCATGGGCTGCCCCTATTTCTTTATATAAATTAATCAGGCATGTCCTTGCTGGTATACGACGACACAGCAGGCTGCCGTAGCGTACAAGCGCCTAAATTATAACTTAATTGGTGGCTGCATACAGTACCTAGATCCGCCATCCTGACATTTTTTTTTCATTGCCGGATAGTATGGTAAACCTTTAGGCAGCATTTGGAGAGGGAACCAAGCGACTGATCTGCCTGTGAAACCAAGTGAATGATCTGCCTGTGGAACCAAGTGAATGATCTGCCTGTGGAACCAAGCGAATGATCTGCCTGTGGAACCAAGCGAATGATCTGCCTGTAGAACAACGCAAATGATCTGTATGTGGAACAAAACGATAGACCTGTCTTTGGAACAAAGCGATAGACCTGTCCGTGGAACAAAGCAATAGACCTGTCTGTGGAACAAAAAATCTGATCTGTCTATGGAACAAAGCGATTAATCAGTCTGTAGAACAAAGCGACTGATCTGTGTCTCCACAATAAAGGTTGGCTGCATTGGATCTCAACACTTCTTGCCCCACTTAAGGGAGCGTCCTGTGACATTATACCATAGATGGCATACACTAAAAAGAAGAAGGATGAAAATAACATCAGAGAAACTGTAACAGCACAATGTTTCTACAGTCACGGCAGCTAGAAAAGCAAGAACACAGAACCTTCATACCTGACGAGGTAAAAGGAAAGAAGGGAAGAAGAACAAGGCATATAATCAGGAGTAGAACAAGGCATATAATCATGAGAAGAACAAGGCATATAATCAGGAGTACCACCCAGTGAGAGAACATTCACACAAACGTACCTGTTGGCAGGAGCTGATGATCTTTCATTGTCTTGCGATGTTTGAGCTGCACCGTAGCTGCCCCGACTCCACATGGAGAACTGCTTCATTCCCCCTCCTGGACCAAGCTGGATGCTATTCTCGTCCACAACATTCTGAAGAAGATTGCCAGATTATATGATCACATTTCATGCTGGAGTAGATTGTCATATTAACTTATTAACTACACAACATTCTGAAGTAGATTGCCAGATTATATGATCACATTTCATGCTGGAGTAGATTGTCATATTAACTTATTAACTACACAACATTCTGAAGTAGATTGCCAGATTATATGATCACATTTCATGTTGGAGTAGATTGTCATATTAACTTATTAACTACACAACATTCTGAAGTAGATTGCCAGATTATATGATCACATTTCATGTTGGAGTAGATTGTCATATTAACTTATTAACTACACAACATTCTGGAGCAGACAGTCAGATTAACCCATTAACTACATGATCACACAACATTCTGGAGCGAGTAGACATTTTAACTATGTCTACTATTTGCACTTTTACTAAGTCAATTAATTAGGATCATCTTTAAAAAAAAGGAAAAAGACAAATCACGAGGTAGACCAAGAATAATAAAGAAAGATATCACCAGAGAAACTATGCAACATCACAGCGTCTCTGCTTCATGCGACCAGAAGCTTATTATCTCCATCAATCCCCAAAGCCATAAAAGAAGAAATAAAGAAAAGAGGAATGAGAACTGGAATCATTATGATTTTAAATTTCATTTCTAGGAAAGCAGCCTGAAAGATGATACCCGATGGTTCAAAGATGCATTTTTCAGATGTGAATCCAGTGCATCTGCCAAAGAGGCAAGGAACCAAGAGTCTCCATATTAATAAGCCACATCAGTAAAACAGACGTGAACAAAAAAAAGTTCTGAAACAAATAAGACTTCCCAATTAAGTTTACAGCCGGTGAATGATCAAGAAGAAAGTTGTGAATCCAGCAGATGCAAATCCCAGACACTGTTCAACCATTAAAAACAGTTATAATTAGGCACCCGACAGTGAAAAAGTTACCAGTTGCCCTGCGAGTTGGGTTCTTAGATGAATGAATATCAATGTTCTCACCTTGGACAGTTTCATCTTGGAGGCATCTATTCTCAGTGACTTAGAACCGACTGTGTTCCATCCGTCATCTGTTGGCTTATTCTCATCTTGGCGTTCTGTAAATATTCAATGAAATGTTTTTAACATACACACAACATCTGTATAAATTAGTTACAATTTAATTAAATATATTTTCTCAAAATATTTTATAGTACATGAAGGGACTAATCAATATACAAACGACATAAGGTGAAGCAATAAATGAAATATATTATTCCAGGCCTTAGAAACAAAAACTCCCTCAATATATTTCACCTCCCAAATGTTGGACAAGCGCAAACACAGCGAACAGCATTAACTATGCACCTGATAAAACAGGTCACCCTAGATGAGTCAGAAAAGGGGCATTTATTGGAGAAATGGGCCCAGTAAGGAGTGTCAATCTGCAGCTTCTCGGGATGAAAGGGCTAAGAGTTATGCTCAAATTCCATTTTCACAAAAGCCTCCAACAATCACAGCATGCAAACTTTACATCTATCCCTTCCTGCCATCATCAACATTATGGCCACAGTCAGAGAATGGTCAGACATACTAAGTAACTTATGCAATAAATGTGTACATACAAAACAAAAATTTTTTTTTTTTCAAAATACACAACAAATTAATACACACATGACAGAAGTAACCACTCATGGTCAAACAGGAGTAGCAGATACAATGAAAGTGTAACCTAAAAAAAATAAGAATGGGTGAAACAAATTTAAAACTGCAGAGTAAAGAACAAAAAAAAAAAGGGGGGGGGGGGGGGAGAATCAGTCTCGTGATTCCCAATTGTAAATTTTAATAAGGACAAACATCTGACTGCACAATTTATTAGTTACATAGCCAATCTGGGTTTTTGTATTTCAGTTGAAAGTTTTTTTAAAAATTATTTAATCTTATTAAAAAGTTGCACTGGGTGTGGAGGGGTGTCTCAGGGGTAAAGCGGTCAAGCTATATGCCTCACTCCCTGAAGGTCATAGGTTCGACTGCAATTTGTTTAGATCCCTGGAGCTTGTTGCTGCAGCTGCTGCATTCAAGCTTTGTGGGGCACTCTCAGGAGGTGGCTAGCCATTCGACCCTCACTGTTACTGCAGTATACCCTTGATGAGATACAAAACCTGTCAATTAACTAAATGTGCAATCTACTGTTTGTGTCTTTCTGTTCTAAGAGCAACAACAAAAATAAGAGCTGACTCACGTCTGCTGCCACGCCTACTGTTGGGCTGTGGATCATTGCGAGGTGGCAATGGCTGTGATTGCAAAAACTGCTTTGTTGCTTGTTCGTCTTGATAGTCTTTATGTACATCCTCAAGCTTCTTTGGGCCTGTCTGTTCCTTGCGTGTCTTCCATTTATTCTGGTTTAAAACAAGCAGTGTGAAACATTAAGTGTTTGCTCACATTTAGTGATACCATTTAAACACCATGTGTATCTAGTGAAAACAAATTATGTGTGGTGATAAAATCTGAACAACAATCATGTGATAATCAAATCTGAACACACACAAAAGGTAGTTAAGCACTCTATCCCCATCTTCAGCAGCAAACGAAGAATCCTCCGATGGCACCAGTAACTGTCTGATTGTAAATCCCTTTCGCCCTGACCCTTTAGTATTGAGCATCAGCCAGATCCCCTGGTAACTCCTCGCAGCGCCATTATCCTCAGATCGCAATGATCTATCTGCGCTTCTGCACTGTTCACTCGTTCCTAGAGGGCACTCACAACGTCTAGCTTGTCATAAATCAATTCACCCCTGAGTGGTGCAGAACTGGCCAGTCTATCTGCCTGCTCACATCTCAACACACTGGCATTATCTGGAGAGACTATCCAAAGAATACTAACTACCTGGGACCTCTAAAGTGAAGCCTGCCACTCAGCGCTGAGGATACCTGTCTCCGCCTTTCCCATCATGCTCTGTGAGTGATAATCCAAGCATGTATGTAAAGCTGATTCATAAGCAGGCGAAAGGCAGCAGTGACTTCCTCCACTCTCAAACTAGATGTGATATGATACATGCCAGGCTTTGCTGCACTAAGCAACAGTCAATAAGACAAATACATGGCAATCGTTTTATTTAGATAATAATCTCACAGGGGATTATATAAAAATTAAACACCGAATAACTACATGACAAATATACTTACATTTCTCAATTCTATTGCATCCCTGAGGGTGAACTTGATTCTAGATTTGCGCTCCTCTGCTATCTTGGACATCTGAGCAAAGTATTGGTCCATTCTCGTCTGTATAACAAAAATATTCAATCTGGCTGAACAACAACCACATATCTAGAATTACAGTGGCACATTGGAGTTAACTATTGTAAACATTCATTAACTATTTAACTGGTGCCTGCAAAGAACAGAGGGAACTAAATATGAATAGTATGACAGAATCAATGTGGCAATCACACTTTGCAACTCTCACAGAGACTGAAAACTCCAAGCAATCCTCTGCCATCCAACTTCACATATCTCACAAACTGTACAAACAAACCTCTGCCTTGTCTCTGCCATCCAACTTCACATATCTCACAAACTGTACAAACAAACCTCTGCCTTGTCTCTGTCATCCAACTTCACATATCTCACAAACTGTACAAACAAACCTCTGCCATCCAACTTCACATATCTCACAAACTGTACAAACAAACCTCTGCCTTGTCTCTGCCATCCAACTTCACATATCTCACAAACTGTACAAACAAACCTCTGTCTTGTCTCTGTCATCCAACTTCACATATCTCACAAACTGTACAAACAAACCTCTGCCTTGACTCTGCCATCCAACTTCACATATCTCACAAACTGTACAAACAAACCTCTGCCTTGTCTCTGTCATCCAACTTCACATATCTCACAAACTGTACAAACAAACCTCTGCCTTGACTCTGCCATCCAACTTCACATATCTCACAAACTGTACAAACAAACCTCTGCCTTGTCTCTGCCATCCAACTTCACATATCTCACAAACTGTACAAACAAACCTTTGCCTTGTCTGTGTCTAATGCCTGTCCAACAGTGGTGATTAAATTGCACAAGGAAACCAGAGAGTCATCGTCCCGGGCCTTTAACAGTCTGTAGATGCAGTCATGCATGATGTTCTCTGTCAGCATGTTCAGTTTAAACAGCTCTCCAATAAATCTGAAACATTCATATTTACATCATTTCAATGATAGTGTTGATATCAATGAAATAAAGAAGTGATGAGATGACATTTAGGTAACTATCATCATGTTAACTGATTCTGTAACAGTTCTTTAACATTCATATTTACATTATTTTAATGATAGTGATGATATCAATGAAATCAGGAACTGGTGAGATGACATTCAGGAAACTATCAACATTTTTGCCAGTCCTTTACCACTCATATTTACAGGGATGATATCAATAAAATAAGGAACTGAGATAACATTCAGGAAACATTATGTTGGCCAGTCCTTTAACATTTATCAAATTTACATCATTTTAATGATAAGGGTAATATCAATGAAAATAAGGATCTGATGAGATGACATTCAGGAACTATCATCATGTTAGTCGGTCCTTTAACACTAAGTACTAGAACATTCAGCAGGACAATTTCAAGGTAACCATGCTATAATTTTTTCATCAATGACCTTGGCTCCCAGCCCTAAATGTAGAGTGCTGGGAAGTAAAGGCTGCTGGTATGATGTTTACCATATCAACCCCCGAAGTGCCCATTGGCCTATGAAATACAGGTTTGGCCCTATATGCCCAATAAGCCTAAAGGCACGGAAAAAAGGTTCTTTCGTAGTCTTAATAAACATGAACAATGTGTGACAGCCAATACTATTAGATACAAGGGCTGTCAGAGTAACTATGTTTGTATAGTATTACTAGGCTAGATATCTTTTATAGATGGTAAATATCTGGTCACTTATGACTCATTTAGGCACCACAACCCCCAACTTTTACTTATATTAATCTCTGAGAAACGGTGTCAGTCACAGCTGATGTTCAGATTCTGAAGAATTGTAGTATGTTTGCTTCCTCTTAATCGATTGTATTCCAACAATGTTTCCTAAAGTGACTTTTTTTTTAATTTGAAATGACTACAAGATGTGTATACTCACACTTCTGAACAAATTTGTATGATTTTAAGTTGTTATAACACAAAACAAAAGCCCCTCTAATGAGAAATGAAGGAGTGTAGTACAAGCCATTCTAGTGACAAAGATTGTCATATGAAACAATCCATATTATTTAAAAATTAAGTTTTGCTTACTTTTTATCTTGAGGATGAGGCAGGCCTACTCAAGACAGCAAAGACTCAACTTGATATGAGGACTTAACTTGATATGAGAAGGACTCAACTTGATATGAGAAGGACTAAACTTAATATGAGAAGGACTCAACTTGACATGAGAAAGACTCAACTTGATATGAGAAGGTCTCAACTTGATATGAGAAGGACTCAACTTGACATGAGAAGGACTCAACTTGACATGAGAAGGAATCAAATTTATATGAGAAGGAATCAATTTGAGAACTTGGTTACAACTAGCAAGATAGAGGGAGAAAAGGGAAAGTGAAGAGATAAATACCTGCAAAACTTGACCATATGGATTAAGTGAGAAAAAAATTACATACATGGTTAGTGATTCTGATAATTGTGTATGATAGAAAGAAATGTCCGCCTAGGCTTATCAACAGAGGGAGCTATGAAAATAACATAAAAGTTACCTGATATTTCCGTAAAATTTTAGTCTCTTCAGCTTCATCTGGTATAGAGTGTTTTCTATCTTTTCTGTCCTCTCGGGCTGCAGAAATACACAAATTTTATAAAAATCAAACCAACCCATCAATCCAAATTTACTGCAACCATACGATTCGCAACTTCATATTTGAGACATAAGAAAAAATACATCAAATAGTTTATAAAATACAAAATGGATGCTTTAAAGGCTTGCTCCCACATAATTTATATATACACGCACATAAATGTGTGTGTGTATATATGTGTGTGTACACACACACACACATATATATATATATATTACAAGTATTATGAGAGAAGAAAATTATAGCACAAGGCATATTGCCAAGAAGGAGGGGCAGGGGCTGACACGAAGATGGGCACAGGATATAAGTGACTCCTTGAGTATGAAAGTGCATGAGGCGGGAGAACTGGCGAGAGACTGAGTTTCTTTCAGGCAGACTGTGATGAGCAAGGTTCTGCAAAGGACTTGCTACATAATGATATGAGGGAAGATAATCAGTAGAAAATACCCTCAGCTGAATGTCTTTTTTTCCCCTCATTCTCACTACAAGTTACAAGGGTTTTTTTACGAGAAGACCACAGGCCTCTACAAGGTTTATGGTGTGACACATGTCTTCCATTAATTCAAACGGCTTAGTCTCCACCAGAATACCAACTGGCCAAACATGGGATCTCCCTACTGCAGGTAGGGAGCATATCTCCAGTATAAATTCAGTACCCTGTTTGTACCTGCCCACATGGAAAAAGTGTGTGTGTGGAGTGTTGTGTCCAGTTTGCAATCTAAAAAAAAAAAAAAAACAATTCATGTCTGAAGGTTAACTTCCGTTTTCAAAATGGCAGATAGCAGCGTTGTTTATTTTCACTAGCTGTCAATTTTCTCGGATCATTCTGTTTCATAATCATGGACTGCAATTTTGTGCGCTTTTCTAATGCAGGATACTTTGTGTGTGTGTGTTGTGTAAACAGTGTGTATTGTGGTTGTCAGGGCGGGATAATAACCGATAGTTTTGGCGCCTCGACCACGCTGCCTAATAATCGCGGTGGTCATCGTGAAAACATTTGGTCTGGCAGCAGCAAACTCAATAAAAGTGTAAAAACCATAAAGACTAGTCTCTACTTTCCTAAACTACATATGCATTTCATACAACAGAAAGTCCATCCTTCCATTTTAACGACAAGCCAGATTTTTTTCTAGGCAGACTAAGCGTGGTAAAACCATAAAGATCAAAATTTACATCTGAGGCAGACTCGATGATCTTTAACTAAAATGACTGGACAACAACTAGTGTTTTCAGACTGCAGACAACTAAAAAAAAACTATTACTAAAACATCTAGCTCTCTTAAATACTGGTTCTGTAATGTTCACAAAACGTCTAGCTTTCTTAAACGTCTAGATTCCTTAAATACTTACTGGTACCAAAAAAAATACTTGTACCATAATATTCACAAAAAGTCTAGCTCCCTTAAATACTGGTACCGTAACAATCACTTACGCCTTCTGGCATCTCTGTCTCGATCTTCCTCTTCTTCTCCTCCGGGTCCTCAAACACAACAGTTTTGTCGGCTTCAAACTCCTGCTGGCATTTAGTCAACATCACCACGCGGAAGGTGGCCTGGTTCTCCTTGATGCCAGAGTCTGCAGGTGGTGGCACTCTCAGCTGCGTACATAAATAAGATTGTCAGAACAACATAAAACCACATTTCACAAAATGCCCTCAGTGTCATAGCAGCTTATCGCAGGCCCATTTGGTCCAGCCTCAAATGGGTACCAGGTACCTAGGAAGTACTGACCACATCAACTACTGAAAGCCTACTAGTCTACAAAAAAAATATATACTCCAGCATCATAAGCAATTGCTACTTATATTTCACAAATAATAAGTTAAAAGACTAGGGGACTGACTTTATTGCAATGGGTCTTATTCCAACAGAAAAGTTAGACTTTATTGACCACAGTCAAAGTTCTTTGGCTGATAATTATGTCAAAACAACTTTATATCAAGTCTTGTTATTCACCAGTAGGTCTTTATTCAACAGTAAGTCTTCTGTAAACTGGGAAATGTTAGTCTATTTCTACATTTGGACGGAAACATCCCTAACTCGTATGTCATCTTCTTCTTCTTCTTCTTCTTTCGTTCGCCTGAAATAAGTTATCTATATCAGCAGTTTTGTCTCTTGTATAAATTTCACTGTCGTTGTTAGTTCATTCAGTGGTCCATAATGTTTACATTCCACTGTTGTTCTTTCTGGCCAAAAGGTTTGCCTTAATGTGTCAATCGGTGCAGTCCTGGAGTACATGCTCTGCGGTCTGGGGCACATTTCCACAGGTGCACATGGCTGATACACCTATCTTGAATTTTGTGTACATGTGGTTACGTAATCGGTTGTGCCCTGTTCTGAGGCGGAAGATAATGACTTGTTCTGGTCTGCCCATAATAAAATAGTCGTCTTGTGCTGAAGCTGGTGGTTTCCTGATCGATTTAATGATTCTTTTCTTTTGGTGGTATGTGACTGGTACATCTGGCTGCTCTTTTGTCGCACCTTCCCCTGCCAGTTGATCAGCTTTCTCATTTCCAGGCACTCCACAATGAGACGGTATCCACTGCATTACGACTCTTCGCTGAACGCTGAGTTGTGTCAGCAGTGTTTGCAATTCTGGTAGTTTCCTATACTGGAGTGCTTCAAGTACTGATTTAGCATCTGTAAGCATTACCACATACTGTGAGCCAAGGTTGGTATTTAGCAGTTTCTCTGTAGCTATCTTAATAGCCTGGGTTTCTGCATCGTAGTTATGGCAGTACTTCCCGGTTGGTACGCTGGACTTATCCCTAGTACAATCTGGGAATTCGATGTACACTCCAGCACCACCATTTCTAACTGCACTTTCTGCGGACCCATCTGTATAGACTCTGACCTATTGTTCTTGTGGGTATTCTTCACCAATATAACTGAGGGTGGCCATTTTGCGTTGTACACTATCTTGCTCTTTCTTGTCAAATATCCCTTTCGTATGTCATGCTTGTTAGGGGGCAATGACAATGGGTCAATTTTCTTCCTCACAATGGGGCACCTGAAGACACATAAAAAAAAAAAAAAACAACAGTAAATAAAGAATGCTTCTGAAACACTGCAGATATCTTTATATCTCTTTTGATTGTAACTGAAAGGTTGGTTGGCTTGCTGTGTTTGAGGTTCAGTCTCATCTGATTTCATCCAAAGAGGCTGTGCGTATTTTCTCACTACCCCAGGCCACAAATATATAGCAAAAATAAAGATATAAAATCACAACTCACCCCAGACATAACCTTGCAGAGTAAGGCATAAGCCTCCACAAACTTGGTTTCCATAGTCACCTGACAATAAAACAGAAGAGCAAATTCAGCATCACACTGTACTTAAATGTACTAAAGCTACAACCACAACTTCTATTGCTACTAATATTACTCTTGCACTTCTAATGCTAATACCACTTTTGTTCGCCCATCACTGTTGATGATGACCAGTCCTGGTGATTTTGATTTAAATGTGATGTGATCTGTCGACCTCACTCGCCTTGCTGTTCTCAAAGCTCTCCACAGAGCCTGCTGGTAGCCGTGTTTTTGTTACCACATCAAAGCTGTTGCCCAGAGTGTGGTGGCTAATACCATTACTGCTGCTACCTCTAGTGCTACTGCTATCATAAACACTAATACTGCCTCCATAAATACTACCACCAACACTGTTAATACCTACAAGAGAATAAGAGAAGCAAAAACGCTACATAACACAAGATATCAGAAATGATGAATATTTTACTGGCTTTGACTGCTATGGCTTAGCCTATGAATTTTAATGCATCTTCATCCATCCAACAGTCAAACAGTAGCAATTATTATATCAGCCTTTATACATCCGAATGGATGATAAATTTGGGGTGAGAGCAGGATATCTACAACTTTAAGGCAGGTGACTGGATACCTAGACAATTCTTTTCCAGAAGACTCAAACACCTTTAGAAAGGTAATACCATCCTAAGGGCAGAAACAGGGCCACTATAGGCTCTTTTTAAATCTTCTTCTCTTCCTTCTGTCCAACTTCTGGTGTCCAGGGAGATTCCTTTCTAGTCATCTTGACCAGACACATGGTGCTGTTCCTGAGATTGTATCTGTCCATCTTGTTCTTGGTTAAGCTCATGCAATGTCCACATTCTGTCTATCACATTTCCTAAAGTGGGCAAACCATTTGATTAACAGTCTCTGTATGTCATTCAGAACTGGTTCTGTGCTGACTTTCTCTTTAGACTTCATTCCTGATGTTATCTCTTCTGGTTACTCCTGCAGCCCTTTGAATCAATTTCAATCAGATTTTGGTCTGGGAAACAAGGATGTATCCCTAAAGTTTGGTGATGAAAATGTTGAGCATGGATACACTGTGAACCAGAGCCATTCGATTAGGTTTACAAAGGGAACAAAATGTGGGGCCCAGGTCTCAGCATAAAGAGATTATTTATTTAATACAACTAACAAAAATCTGCAGGCCACTTGCTAAGGCCCCAGCAAGCCAAATTTGGCCCGTGTGCCACTTGTAAGGCCTTCGCAGGCCAGATTTGGCCCACATGTCAGGCCCCCGAAGGCTAGATTTGCCCTGTGTGCTACTTGTCAGGCCCCAGCAGCCCAGATCTGCCCCATGGGCTATTAGTAAAACAGCCCTGCTGTAAACTGTAAGCTTTTCTCACTAGAGAAGACATTTTACCTTGTCAAAGAAAATCTTCACAAGCTCCTGTAGATCCTCGTAAGTACTGATGTTGAGCTTCTTCATTTCCACAGCTAACTTCTCAAAGTTTGTAGGCGTCAGTCTGTTCATGATAAATAGTACTGCAGATTCCAAACTTTTGGTCTGAATGTAGAAGGGAAAACCCCAATCATTATAAGTATATGTTTCAACACACACAAAACAAAATTTAAACACAAAAATATATACATTCACAGATAAAAGGGCCTGATATGGCAGATCCTTGTCACATGTTACAAATAAGAAAAACTAGTCGCAAAACAACATCATATGTAAGTACCTTAATGACACAGTATGCAAATATCTCACGAACCGCCTTCTAGGAAACTCAGCATCCAACCGTTTAATGAATGTTCCAGAATTGGTTGGCAACCAATCTTTTCTTTTTTGGCTAGTATTTATCCCTGATAGCCACACATGTATCAGATATTCAACTGTCCAGACAGATGGGCGATTCCTTTAGTACTTCAATGACAAAGTCCGCAAATATCAAGTTTTATCGATTATCTCAAAGTTACAGCCATTGTTGCCACCCCCCCCCCCCCCCCCCCCCGCTTTTTTTTTTAGCTTGTAACTTTTTCCGGTAGTCACACATGTACTAGAGATTTAACTACCCAGACAGATATGTGATTCCTTTAGTACTCCAATTACAAAGTCTAGTTTTTAGTTTTTCTACTATTTCAAAGTTACAGCTCTTGTTGCCACCGCCCTATTCCCCTCTTTGGCTTGTAATTGTTTCCCGTAGTCACACATGTACTAGAGATTCAACTGCCCAGACAGATATGTGATCCCTCTAGGAGACTATTCCCGAAGTAGTGTCCACGTCTCATACGTAGGGCAATTTGACTTAAATAGAGGGGCTGGTGGTCGAATATAGGCTTGTACAGACTTAAGATATACAGGGTAGGCATAAGAATTTTAGAAAGCTCAGGTAGGGCATGGAAAGCATATACTTAAGTGATTTTGTGTACTTTTTCCATGTCTGTGCTGCATATGTAATGTGATGATAAAGCTACAATGTTCACATGCCCTTTGTGGTAATGTTAAGCTGACTGTTAGTATTTGTTTATGAAAAAGTACAAAGGGCCTTATGTCAAAAAAAGACCCCAATATGCTCTACTAAGATGAAAGCGCCCACCCCCCAACAACTACAAAAATTAAGTGCACATTCTCACCTTTTCTGCAATCTCTCCTGTAGACAACTGCTTCGGTGAAGGCTTCCAAGGTTTCTCACTTTGATGTAGTGCCTTGACGCTGCCTTGCAAAGAGACACTGGTAATGATGCGCTGAGGCACCTGCATGTCAGATCTAGGACGGTTGCGGCTGTTGCTCTTGCCAATCGGCGGGGCATGCTGGGAAACAACAGGCTATATTTTTCAGCACAAATAAGATAGCTCAGTGGTAACTCACATTTCACCAAAGATGCCAACTGTTGAGATAATACAACTCATGCCAGCAGGCATGTGGCTATTAATATTAAATAAATCTAGTAAACTTCATGCAGCCTCAAAAAAAAAAAAACCGAACAAAAGCCTATTTAAAATCTGTAATATTAAACTAATGCTTCCTAGATGGCTATCTACTAACTCAACAAATGGCATCTATGTTTAAATATGACAAAATTAAATGTCTCTCTTCTCTAAATATGTATTGCTTTTAAGATTAAAGGAGTTAAAAGTAAACTAATTCTTAAACATCGTAACATTCGAATAGCTTAACTAAAGGACTACACACGTCCAGCTCTTTTATATCGCAAATCGTTAACTAATTTTATCCAAGCATGCTTCCCTTTGAAGTTGTGTTGGGGAAAAAACAGGTGGAGAGACTGGCTGGGCTCTGCACAACTTAGTAGAATACAGATGCATAAAACAGGCAGACGTGGTCAAGGCATTATGGGAAAACCTGCACAATTTGTAAAAGCAAATCTGATCACCCCAGTATGGTCAAAGTGATGCATACCACAGTTCATGTAACAAAAAAGGAAACTCCTAAAAACAATCAAGTTTTATCACAAGAACCTGTCTGTCTGAAGGACTGACCGCAGAGATCTGACCCATGCTCGACGCCCAGAGGAAAGGCAAGACGGGCGCTACTGGCATTGCTACTGGCATGCCCAGAGTGCTGTGGTGTCGGTCCCTGAATCAACTCAACTCATTTCAGACTGGTACTGAATGACAGACTGACAACAATGTGTTTGCACAGAACAGGCTTTATTCTGTGAAATGCTTACGTTTGGACCTCAAAATCTTAAATAAAGAGTAACATATTAAAGAAAAGAAAACAACCAGCAAGACAGGCAGTTCAAGCATACAGATCCTCTGTTGAAAGAAAGCTAGTGTGAAGTAAAAAGGGGCAGAGCAAGGGGTTTTCCTAGTCTGCTAGCTGTTTAGAATATTTTACATTTAACTAGGTTATCTTGCATTTATCGTTATCAAAATACCTGAAATACCTAAAGGCTGGCATACTAAAGAAAAACAACAACCAAAAAGACATGCAGTTCCAGCCTACACACCCTTTGGCCACTGGCAGACTGCTGAAAGAAAGCTGGTGTAAAGTCAAGAGGCGCAGAACTTGATCCTCTGCTGCTAGCCGTGACAGGCTGAAACAGACAACAGCAAAAACTCATGACCATACAACTTCACATGACAAACGCATGTTCTGCATTCACCCCTATCCCTTTCACATGACTCCAAACATTCCATCCCATGATGACATATTTCCCCCTCTATATTCTTCTTTCGCTCGCTATCTCCTCTATAGTTACTAACTGCACTGGGGGATAAGTCCTGGTTGCCCCTCAGCTTTCAAACTGTCCCAGGAATTTTTTTTCTTTCCACTTTTGTTCTTGGCGTCTGTGGTTAAGGTGTTGCAAACATGCTTCGCAATACCACGTTCAATCCCAGCTGCAGGCGATTAGACAGCAGAACAACTTGCACCGGTTTCGACAGAGGTAGCAAGAGATAACCGTCCAGAAAGCAACAGAAAACAAAATACTGGGGCTGGTCCTGTAAAGGATACACAACCAACAACTTTTAACCGCTTGCTAAAGATACACAAGCAGATTGCTGGTTTCTTCGAAGGAAGCAATCCCAGCTGGGAATTTGTTTCTAGGATGACCACAGAGGTGTAGGCAGGTCTTGATGTTTGAGCCCTAGTCCTGGTGGTCCGCCACATGGGGTTCAGCACCTCCACATCCCCAAAGTAATATCAGCAAGTCATTAATTAGCTGCCAATTGTGATGTTATTAGGCACCAGCTGTATTCTTCTAAAACTGTTGTCAGAATGTACTCTGGATCTTCCAAATCTATGGTTCTCTTCTGATCGCCACCAAGCACCAATGGGAGGAGCAGCTGATCAGTGCTCAACCGATAGCGCAGACTATGGTCATTCTGTGTGGGTCCCTTTTAGAACAGTGGCGTATCGGGCATACTGCTGCTGGACTAAAATATTTTGAGACCAACCAGTACATGAAAGGTGATGTGGTCATGATATGCTAACCAAGATTAACCTGGTACCCATTTTAGGCTGAGCTGACCTTGTGTGGATGTATAAGGTCTTTAAAGCCATCAATCTATTTTCCCCAGTCTTCTTGCTCCCACAAAACTTTCTAGGTGTGCCTTGTGCTGGTAGTTCAGTTGTGACCGAATCATTTGATGACCAAGGCCACACCTCTGCAGATCCAAAATAATTGTGTACTAATCTTGTAGTCCATGCCTGTCGATTAAATCAGTTGACAGTTTTTCTTCCATGCCACGTGAAACTGTCCAGCATCTTCTTTCTCTCCATGTTACTTATGGCCCTTGTTTAAATATAATGGAAGGCACAGTAAACGCCTAAACATATTACACATCCCTAAACCTAGTATAGACCTTTATAAAACAAGTTTAGCGTACTCCGCAGCTCAGCTGTGGAATTGTCTTCCACAACAGATCAAAAATACCACTAGTCCCTATAGGTACAATAGAAAACTGTTTGAATATTATTTGAGCACAGATTACATGCCCCCATAGAGGACAAAGAGAAAAATATTTTAGAAATAGCGCCTTTTTCCATAGATTTATAACAACCACTACGGTTGTTGTAGTTAGAAATGTAGACATTTCAGTGCTTGTACTTAATGTTTTGATGCTTTTTATAATGTTTTATTACGTGATGTGCGAATGAAATGATGTAAGAATGGAGGGAGACCTCGAAGGGCAGAATGTAAGACAGGCCTGCGTGCCCAATTCTTAACCCTTTACAAATAAAGTTTGTTCGTTCGTTCGTTTTGTCTTCCTCCAACATCTTGTGGGCAATCAGTTCTTTGTGAGCCAATTTCTTTTAAGACATTGTTACTCATTTTATATGCTGGAATGTTATCATTCCCCTATAAAACCACATTTCCACAGCTACCACATAACTTCACTAATTGGCCACCTGTACATAATTCACTTGCATATATCAGAAAAGGACTGACTACGAACTTCAGCACACACACACATAAAAAAGGAAACTTACCCTGTCAAGAATAATCTCCAGATTTGGGAGTCCCTCTGGCTTAGCCTGTGAGGTAGCACACTCTCTCAGCTCCATGAGGTAAGCTCTGGCATACTGTAACTTGCCATCTGAGAATTTAACAACAGATTGTAGCACAAAATAACCCCCCACACTCTTGCAAGATACCATTATTTTATTAGTAGTTCAGGACACTTTTTTTTTTTTTCAGTGCTCAGTCTCCAAAGGCTCAGATGGCTAGGGAAAGGAAATAGAGAAAACAAAGAAGACAAGGACTGCAGACAGGTTAAGAGCTGGGAAGAAATGCTGAACTGCATGAGATGGAGACAATAGTCTTGAAATCCCATGGTCTTATTGCAGAAGATTAACAATGCTGGGTCTTGCTAGTCACAATCCTTATGGGCTGTGATTCTCATGCATTCCTTCACGACAGAAAACACTACGGCTAGAAAAGATGGAAGGCCAGGACTCTTTTGCAGGCCTAAAGCCATGTAGCTCACAGAAATTGCACACCATCTGAACATCCACACCAGGTTATGCCTGAGCATGCGGCAGGGATCAAGCTGACCAAATGGCAAAAAGTGGAAAAGAAGCCTGCACAGATCTCATGCATATGACAATGCTGTGTAAAGTGGGAGACTGGCATTGACCTGGGAGTGTACCGACCAGAAACAGGTGTAAAACATGTTTTTTTTTTTTCTGTAAGGAAGCAAAAACAAAATCCTAACCTGCACAGTTTGTGGCGATAACACTAGTCAAGCGGCCTTAAATCTTCAGTCTCAAAGACACCTCGGCCCCCACAAAAGTAAACACAGGAAGTAACGACTAGGTGTCTAGGTGAACGAGAAATGCACGAGCATGTCTTAATATACAGCAAAAACAATTTTATAGGACAAGGTATTTAACTGAGCGTAACCATCGGCCAACATATGACTGATGGTCAGTGCGTTAATAACCAAAATAAATATGTCAACACATAATCATACTTTACTCAACTCACCCTTCTTTGTCATCTCTGCTGATGGCCGTGTGGCTGGTGGCTTGGGAGCTGAGGAACTGTTGCTTCCCTGAGTAAGTCCCTTCCTCATGTCTTCACTTTTCGGCTTCCGAAACTCTAATGATTCGCTTTCATCAATGAAGGGGTAATTACCCACAGAGGAATCACTGACGGCATTAACTGATATTGTCGGCACTGGCTCTGCGTGAACATTGTCTGCAATACCATTTTCTACAGGTTTTGAACTCACTCTGTCTATCTGTCCGGGAGCTCTGTAATGACCTGGAGCTGTGTTTCTAGTCTGTTCAGCGGGTGGTTGGTTTTGATTGGTTGTAGGGGTGCTGATGTTGGTTGCAGTCGGTACACTGGCAGTTGGGGGAGCTTCAACCTGTGTCTTGCTTTCTTTTTTCAATGAGGGAACAACTTTCTTTTCTGTCTCCTCTGCAGAAACTGGCGTTACTGTGTGGACTGGAGCCTTGGGCACACTTGGTGGCTCTTGTGAAAGAGCGATGGAAGAAGACAGAGTTTTTACATTTTCGCCTGCAGGTATATCCACTTGTTTAGATTCTGGAACTGTCTGCGGAGGTTTGTCATCTACCTCTATTGCCTCATTCTGTACCTGAAATGAGAGTCAGAATTCCCTTGGTAAGATACAGTGTTTTTTGGTCACTGACCAATAGGTGAAGCAATGGCAGACTACCTAAAAAATATAGCTGGCACTGAATCTGATTAACAATCACAATATGACTTCCTCTTTTTTCAGACAAGAACATAATTGTGTTGTCTGCATATGACATATTTTGTTGCCCAGGAATTTCATGCGTCTTTAATCATTGAGGTAAAACCGGTTTTTTTTTAAATCTTCATGCAACTGGGATAACCAGCACCAGTTTCAATATGGTCTTCAGGGAGGCCTGAGTTTTCTTTTTTACCACAACAGAGGCCTGAAAAGTGTCAGTGAAAAAGTACAGATCCCTTTTCGTGCCTTAGGTGCATCGGGCATATGAAAAGAGCGTCCCATATTTTTACAGACTAATCAGCACTGGGTGGGTAATGTGGTCAGCATTACGCCGGCCGTCTTTACTTCCCCAGGACAGCCACCTGCTGCGCCCCATACCAGGATAAAAACCCACGCAGGAAAGTATCAGCGAGGCTATATTTAAAGGACCACAGCTCACAGGTCGACCCAGAATTAAATGAGAATCAACAGCGGCCAGCATAAATTTGACCACATAACCAATCAAGCCCGGTTTGCTTTTAGCCATTAGCTACACACACTCAACTACACTGCAGTCAGTCGTAATCTAAACAGAAAAGAACAAGAAGTCAGATTTTAAATTACTACGCACCAAGCCCTAGGCATTTGTTGCCTCACCAAAAAAAAATTTTTTTTTAGCTTTGATAGTAAATTAGCAAGTAAAATAATTAGTTAAGTTAAACCTCATTATTTTACAGTTAGAATACAATTAACTATTACAAATAAGATTTCTACAGAGTACAACTGCATGAAATATAAATCCAGTTGACATTTATGTTTCTACAGGGAACTATAAAAACTGTCAACGGATTATTATTCTTACTTATAATAGATTCTGTCTGTCAGTAAGTTAATTAAAAAGTTAATTTCAGCTTGGAACGGTGTTGGATATTAGTTAACATTTTCAAGGATCCACCCATCTATGTATGTCTACACATTTTAAGTCTGAAAATAAAGTTAACTAATAAAACCTGGAAAACTGCAAATAAAAACAGAAAAGGAACATGATAAATTTGGGTTAATGGTTAATGTAAAACTGCACACACAAAAACCACACACACACACACATGTTGATCACTGAAATGTTTTTGTTTATCATTATTTAAGCCTATTAAGGCTTTTAAAAAATGCCCATTTCTGATTTAAAACAACATCAATTATACTGTTATCTCTGCAATTATTTATTATAAATTATCTTCCGCAATAAACAATGCCTTCTAGTATTCTGAACATAATATCAATCAGTTTCTCTGAATATGGCTATAATTTGATTTCTATATATAATAAACACAATTATTGTATATTTTTAAATAACTTCACATTTATTAGCCCCAAAAATTGTTTAACCATAACTTTTACAACTATATCCCTGAGTATCAGTTAAATAATAAATCGACAAAACAGTAACAAATATTATTAGTGTTAGTATAACAAAGCACTTAAATAAACCCAAACTTGTCAAACCTCTGAACTCTGATTAGACGAGGAACATGGTTTTACTTTCTGGTTGGGCGGCGTCTTTCGTCCTTTCTTCTTCTTTTTCTTTTGTTTGTGCTTACTCTCCACCTAGAAATTCAACAACAGGCAGGTGCGCATAATAAGTCGGACAGTTTAAAGCCAATCCAAGCAGTGTTTATGAGAAGCCACACACAATGGAACAATGACAACAGGGAATCTACAGTTTGGTGCATGCTAGACAGGACAGCTAATGTTACATCTACATACAGGGTGTCTCAAAAACACACACCATGACAGCCTACAAATGTGTCATTTTTGTATAGAATACGATTATAAATCTGAGATGTAAGACTCGGGTCTGAATCATCAGTAAGGTTGAGGGGTTTTTATATCGGCAAATCCTAACCTGCAGTCTGTAAAGCTGCACTTGCCATAGGGGCCCCGAATCTCGAGGACAACCCAATCTTAGATTACCTCAAGTTCAAATAGGTTTTATTACCATCACTAGATAAATTTTTTTGAGATACCCTGTATATACAAAAATAACAGCTGAGCGGTATTGAAGCATGTCTAAGAAGGAAATAAGAAAATAAACATAAAATATAGAAACAAAATGCAGATATGACAGTACTAATTTTTTAGAAACAGGAGCAAAAAATAATAAACTTGAGCTGATGAAAGACAACAAACATGACTGCTACATAAAGACATGCTATTTTTAAATAATATTGAGGGAAGAACTTTAGCAAACAAAAGGTTGCAGGGGGGTTTGAGGATGAGATATAAACGTGGTCACCCAAATGTATACTGCTATTAAAAACAGTGGGGGAAAAAATAAAAGTCAAAGACTAATACTCCTTGCCCTTAGTTATCTTCTTCTTCGCGTTCACCAGCTGTACACTCTGGCAGAAAGTTCTGGGCGCTCGTCCACTACTGATCTCATTCTCTTGAATACAAACTGTTGGTTCCTTGCCTCTCCGGCAGATGCACTCCCCAATTAGTCGACTCTTACAACATGCTTTTGGGGAGGTAGTGGGTCTATTCTTGTTTTACCCACGCGGGGGGCCCTTAGTTATGTTATCGCTATTCAACACATACGGGGCATTCACATGCATGCTCAGACCTCCAATACAGCATCCACCCCACTGTCCCATGAGGAGCTGGTTTTGTCTCTTTTTTTCACTAAGCTTTACTCCCAGGTCACGCGCCTGACAAGATTTGTTTATATTCCATTATTAACTCAGCGCTGATTCTCAGTCCATCACGGAAAATATCAGGCTCAATAATGATGAGACAAACAGGCTTTATAATCATTAACAACACTACCATACAGACAGAAGTAAAGTATGTCTGAATAAGTGAAGGGATTTAGTGCTGTAGGGCTGCAAAAAATGCAACGGAGACAAAGGGATAATTAGAAGGGCTTATCTGCTAGGATACCGATACAATCAGCATACCCTGAGGATGATGATGACATTCAAGAGAAACCCTGTGAATAATTGTGGGGGGGGGGGGGGGGGAAGAGGAGACAACTGCTGACCAGAAGAGTGATCACAGAACAATGTTTAACCATGCACAAAGAAATATAATGTAGTGAAAATTGGGGTCATTATTTGGGCGTCGACACAAATGCATGCACATAACCAGGTAAACAGCAGCGACAACTAGCAGAAAACTGGACCAGGAAGCCCTTACACACCCTCACCAATACAACAAGCAAATATAGGACAAGCATTACTACTGTCTACACAATCAAAGCAATAAAGAAAATTCACAACGGTTACACAATACTTAGTATATATGCATGAAAGGGACAATAAATTTGCAAAGCAACATCCTGGAAAGGGGGCAGGGGGGAATCATGCATGTATCATTTTTTTTGTCTCTTGTTAAGTGGCAAAGCAATGTCTTAATTGACTGTTTCACAGGTTTCAGGGCAGGCATGTTAAACTGACTGCCTGCAAAACTTACATTCTGCTATTCCACAATAATTGTTATTAAATGACCCATATGGCCACACAGGGCTCAGTTTGACATGCCTGCTTGAGTCTTCATTATGAGTATGTGGATCTAAGGCTGCATAACAAGTGCTACTATCACACTCACCCAGCTACATATGAGGTAACATGAGGAAAAACCCAGCACCCAAGAAGTGTTGCTTCATACTAAGAGTTAAATATTCCAAAATGCTCCCAAACAATGTGTAGCATCGTCAGTTCACTACTGTACCTGTGTTGGTGCTACTGGTGCTGCAGCTTGCTTCTGTGATTCTGTCAACTTCTGTGAATTAGCACTGTCATCTCTTGTCAGGCCACGGGATTCTGTAGCAGGGAGCTGCCTTGGCACATTCAGGTCAGTGCCTTCCGGTGCTCGAGTTGCAGCTACTGGTTTGGTGACAATGGCATCAGAAACATTCTGCCCACTGTGCTGGACTGCCGCTCCGCCTGATCTAGCTTCAGAAGCAACATCCAGGGCATTATTGGTCCTAGTAATGTAATTCTCGCCTGATCCACTGCTGGCACCATCCGCTTTCTGATTAAGATAAACAGAACCTAATTGTAAAATCTTGACATGGTTGTTACAGAATTTACAATGGCGGCTGAAAAGGTTGCCATATAAAAAGAGAAAACAAGAAAAACCCAGGATTTAAACTGCTAGGGGACAGTAGACAGGACAAGCAGAAACAGTGACAAGATAACTAGAATAACTAGAATAGTGAAACAAAGACATCCTCTGTCCACAAAAACGAGGTTTAGGTTGAACAGGATAAACTGCCCAAGATTACAAATGGTGGTTTGGCTCTATGGTACAGGCAGAAGCAACTGTACTCAAGGTTCTTCGTTGCTTCTTTGCAAAACCAGTGACTGCTGCCAAGTTTGACTAAAATATATACACCCCCCCCCCCAATTTTGTGTGTGCTAAATCCACACACAAACAAAAGTGAGAGACCAGCATTTAAAAAAAACATGGTCAACACATTTGCACAACAAAATCGAAGCTCAATTTCATATTTTAAAAAAAAATCAGCAAGAAGGAAAAAACCACTAGACCATGCTAGATACAGCCCTGACATTTAGACAGCAGAAATAAACTAAGAGCAAATCTTTTCAGGTAGGCAACATTTATATTTAAAAGAGACAAACTTTCACTTTTTTTTTTTAATTTAATTTTTTAAAGAGAGCCTAGCAATGTTAAACTGCCCTGTATTTGTAAATTATACTAGTGAACTCTACTTTCTCAGCGGACTAATGTAGACTTTATCCACCTCATCCACTTAAGTATTAATTAATTCCCACAAAATGTTTACCACCGTCATGAAAATGTATTTATTTTATTCACCACACCAAAGCATCTTCACCCGTGCCCATGCAATACTATTTATATAGTGCATATCTATATCATATATTTATATCCCCCTACTGTTTCTTCAGCTTACTGAGTATATAAATCTGGCCTGTAATCTAAATAATTTTACAGCAAACCATTGGTGAACAATGGAAGCTAAAATACACAACACTTTACTAACTTGTGAACAATATTCTGATAACATTTGAAATAACTCAAGGATGCATAACATTATGTGAGTTAGCAAACAAACCAAAGTGGAGCTGGCACATTTACACAACACAGCACAGAAAAGATGGTAACAGACTTTCTCCTTGCGTGCATTCCAGGCACACAAGAGAAAAAAAAGGCCCCCCCCCCCCCCCCCCCCCCCTCCATTATGACTTAGCAGGCTTAGACATCGCAGCCAAGCTGTGAACCATTACAGAAACATGCAAACTACCTTCTTGAGCGTGATTGCACAATACAAATAAGAAAACAGCCTGAAGTTACAGCGTATTCAACAGGCAGTGGGTGTTTATGAAAAGTAGGATTAGGGATACAACACCACCGCTGAGATGTGAAGCACAAGCCAAAGAAACGATTGAAAGTGCACACAATGCACAGCAATAAATGCTAAACCTCATGATAACGTAAAGCAGATCAAGCATCAAATAGGACACGACGAGGAGTGCTTAAAGAAAATCCCCACAAAATATTGTCAAATATACGGCCACAATAAAGAGGGTCTAAAAAACAGACAATATACTGACTGGCAATCACAGAAAGAGGGGAAAAGGCAGAAGTACACACACCAGACAATAAACAAATCGGCAGCTAGAGGGTGCTGTGTCTAGAATACATTGCACTCTTGAAGACGATCTGACTGGTGGGTTTCACTGTAATGCAAAGAAATCAATCTGTCAATCCCATACACATGGTGCCACCTTGAACTTCAGTTTCCTTTATATTCCCCTGCAGGCAGAAATTCAACTAGACCCTGGGGGGATTAGAACAATGATGGAAAACTATTTTGGATATGATGATAAGCCACCAAGCAGTAAGATAGGTAACCTTGTCAAGAAGATCACATTTAGAGCGCTCACTAACATCTCTGAATGGGTTCCTAAAGTTATGCCTGCTGCTACGCTAAGAAAGGATTCTCAGAAGATTAACGAACACATAAACAGTTATTACTGGCTTACAGATAAATATAACTAATGCACATTTATACATTAGTATAGGCAGTTTTTAAGCAAATACAGTGGTGCTGTAGTTAGTTAAAAATTGTCATATTAGTGCAAATATATTATTCAACAGATAACAGCAAATACATTAGAAGCAGCATTTGCAGTTTAAACTGTTAGTACTCAAACTGCAACTCAAACTCGATTGTGAAACTGAAAGAGGCACCTGAAGCACTGGCTTGCTATTTGATTGAGCTAGAGCCATCCCTAGTGACCCCTGACCTCTGCCAGCAGGAGCTAGCAATGGGACCACAGATATATACATTTGGTGTACTTTGCTTGGATTAACCAGCTGATCAGTGGTACTGTGAGGTTTCTTGACTTCCAAGCCCAAACTTGGTGCCGAACTAGTGGAATGACAATTTAGCTTGGTGCTGTCTGGTGCTGTGCCACATGGGGACGTGCTCAATGACATCACAGAAGAGGTTGCTGTCGTAGTGGGAAGATTTTCTGGCTTGGCTGTGTGTGCCAGTCCAACAGAAGGTATAGTGGTATCCTCTGAACATGTGAATCTACTGCCTTCGCATTGCCATTTTGGACTAAATGACGATCAGAAGAAGCTCTCCTGTAGACATCATTCTGCTTGTTGGAAACAAGACATCTGGCACTGCTGGCTGATGTGACAACTGTGCCGGCATTAAACTTAATCTCATTACTGAATGCAACGGCTGGCAACTTCCGATGCCAGGGATTTTCTAGCGAGGACCTGGGAGTTGATTTACCACTCAAGGTTGTCAGTCTCAGTCCTCCTTGTGCATTCATGTTGTCAGAAGTGAACTGGAGATTCAATGCCACGCTTCTTTTGAACCTGACAGTCTGGGCCGGATTAATTTTTGGACAAGAGTGTATCTTTGTATCCTGCAAATGAGGTTGTAAAGCTGTGGATATAACACCCTTAGATCTCTGAACTGAAGACACCGCAGACCCGGAAATGGCGTTGTATTTGAAATTTGGTCCTACTGGCACTGTCTTTGCCTCCTTGACTTCTACATCTGCTAATTTCTTCTTGCAACTGACAAACTGTGGTTCGCCTGCGGTCACATGTGCTGCATTTTTTGAAATTTCAGGATTACTAACAGGGTTCGTATTCAAATTTTGTACAGGAATAATCCTCCATGGATTTGGACCATCTCCTGGCCTGCCTTGTGCAGCTGAAGAGATACTTACTGGCAATTTAGCTTGAGCGGACTCCTGGCCCTTCACAGTCCAAGCATTGTGGGCCTCCCTTTTCCCGGAGGCTTCAGATGTTGCTGACTGAATGTTCCAAGGATTCTTTGGATCTCGTCTGGGCACATTTTTAGCAGTTTCCACAGATCCTGTGTCCCTTCCCCTGTTGCTCATGAGGCTGGCACTATCCACCTCTGTCTTGGCCTTCATTGGATTTGATTTAGTCTCCTGTGTTTTTCCAATAGACTAAAGCAAAATAAAAAAAATAATGAGAAAAGTATGTCAAACAATGAGTAAAGACGGCAATGTTTTATATCCTACACATTCAACATAAATGCAAGCAAATGCTACAATAAGCATCAATATGCATATTTTGATTACAAGAAGTCCTGCTCATGTGTCTTACAAAAGGAAATCGGAAACCACAATTAAATGTATGGCAAAATATAGCATGCTAGTGGCAAAGCTGATAATGCTGCAAAAAACTTATCAAATAGCCCTTGACAGGGAAAAGCACAAAGCATATTTAGAATAAGCAAAAGGCCTGTATTTCTGGATATTTCTAATCAAAGTATATACAATGGTCATCTGTCAAACAGTAAAGCAACACTGTACAGCATAAGTAATTAACATTTACAAATCTTCATATATATTATTTTGCGCCTCTGCTGCTGTGAATGAACAATAACAAACTTTACTGTGGGGATATTTTATTCAGTCTCTCGCTTCTGTAAAGACAACAGTCTTCCATTGTGGTTGCTATTATTAAAGACAACCAATACAAAAATGGCTGCCATATATGTCGTATAATGCAGAAGGTGCCAATCCAATGATGACCTCCTTACTATCCATCTTTACATCCAACTCCTTACTATCCATCTTTACATCAATCTCCCTCCTTACTATCTTTTCATCCAACTCACTCCTTACTATCCATCTTTTCATCCAACTCCCTCCTTACTATGCATCTTTTAATCCAACTCTTAAATTTAAAAAAAAAACAGGCTGCTCCAGCATACTAAACTTTCCAAGTGTTTACAATAGCGGGAAAAAACAAATGGCAACATTAAAGTTTTGTTTAAAACTGCCATAACTATAACGGAAAGTTAACTGTAAAAAAATCACAAGTAAGCCTGAACTAAAAATGATACCTGATGATCGTAAGCGGAGAAAGCTGAATAAAAGGGGATCTGTGATGATTTTTTCATGAATTTTGTCCTATATATGTTTCCTTTAAAATCAGCTTCTTGCTGAGAAGGAATGTATTAAAATTGTTCATATAATTGTTTACTGTCTGAATTTGGATAAAGATATTAGAAAGCACACACAAAAAAACATGCATATAGCAACATAACACACATTCCATCTAAACAAAACAGCTATGCTCGGCTACAAATAAATTACCTGCTCATTATTGAAAAACATTTTGTACATAATATTAAGGAAATGGTTTGTATGTGTTTGCAGAATGCCTTGTGACATACTGTGACAAAGATAGCAGATGAAGGAAGGGGAATATGGGTGCCCTAAGGAATCCTACAGAAGGTAAGTAACAGAAATGCAGGAAATGTAAAACATCATGGGGAAATATAGGCAGAAAAGAGAATATACGGCCTGCCACGCATACACATAACACTACAGTGAAATTTATACACATTTTGAGAGGCTACCTGCTTAAAAAAGATCATATTCTGCCATATTTAGATTAAATTATGGTAGCTGTGTTCTGTATCAAGGTTGAGAAAAGTGCCTGATGGCTAAGGGAAATCACTCTGAGCGCTTGTTGTAACTTCACATATTATATGTAACTTGTACACATCTTTTTTTATACAGGTCATTTAAAAAACTCCATGCAGCGCATTGCTACCGCAATGTTTTCAAAGACTGCAAATATCGTTCACGCTGAAACATTTCACCGCTTCGCAGTTACTGTGTATACATCTTTTTTTGACGGTGTAGAGAGAGACATTGAGCCCAAAAAAAAACCAGTGAAGGAACTAGACTTTGTACCCTCAGCACAGTCCCAGGCAAAAAACCCACTGGTGGCAAAATGGACCTAACAATTAGTAGCTGTGCAGTTTGGCAGTGGTAGGATCAAATCTTTGACCATGCTTTTCAGAAATGCAAACACAAAGTTGTGAAAAAGAGCTGTTATCAACAAATATATATTTGCCTGATATGATACAACTGTTTACTATACTCATAATTACTTCCTACCATACTCATAATTACTTACTAAGAAAGGTATCCTAATCTTTTACCTTATAAAATTTACTCACAATTTAGAAACATCCACACAATGTCAAACTAACGTCACATTCATGTTTCCTCTGACAAAAATGCTTATCACTAATCATAAGATTTTCTAAGGCTTGCTAGTGACTACATTTTTCATGCTTGGGTTGTTATGTAATCTATTGTTAGGGATGTGTGGATTATGTAACAAGCTGTGCAATAGGCATCTGCTGGCTACACACTGAACAAGCGGCTGAAATCAAAGCACACATCACAACATGGTCTAGTGGCTACATACAAAGGCAAGGGATTTCAACAGCTGTGGTGCAAAAGCAATGAAAATAAACTCACGTCTATGTATGCATCCATATCTGAGCCTCCGCTCTCTTTGCGAGTGAAGTCTTTCTTACCCTTCTTGTTCTTACGACCATCCTTCACAGAGATAACACCTGAGAATACAACAAAATACACACAATAAAACACCTATGGAATCAAATCCTATTTAGGCAATAACTGGATTATGTTCCGATTCACAGCAAACCGATCACGCTACAACTTTTTTCACTTTTGTGTGATCGAATATCCCTCAGCATTAATCTTGTTGTGTTTACCAGCTTATTACTGGGCAATCAGAATGCCAATGCACCAAAGAAAAGCCAGCCCTCTTAAGAAATCACAACCCAGCATTCTGAAGAAATCACAATCCAGCCTACTAGAGTATCACAACCCATCCTAGCAGAGTAAACCATTACACCAGACAGTATGGCTCTAGATGAATATAAGTCTTCACGGAACGTGCACGTGACTGACAAAGATAAGATTACAATAGTTGTTTCATTCAGGTTGCAGATTTTTTCGAGAGACACCAGTTTGACGCTCCTGCTGTGAAGGACTAACCAGCAGTAGCAGTACTATAGAAGTCAACACATGTGCTTGCCAAGGCAGTGGTCCTGATACAATTCCTGATAGAAGCAGAACAGTTGCATTGTTTTTACCTTTACAGCTGAGAAATAGGACCATACCACCTTGCCCTTTTTGGGGAATATTTTATACCCTAGAGTCAGTTAAACAATGTACTGTTATCTCTACCACTTTGCCTTTATCTTGCAAAGAAACTCAACAAAACAAAAAGCTGTTGCTAAGTCTGGTTTCTCTAATGTTCTCATTCAGCAGAATGGCAGCATTTTCCTAATTTCCTTCTTGTACACCATACAGACGACAATTTTTAGACTACATATTAAATTCAGAGATAACAGCAAACCCACAAACACTCAGTTCTTAAGGACAAGAAAAAGAAACTACAGTTTTGCTGGGCTCATGTCTTTGGGGGGAAAAGGGGGGGGGGGGGGGAGTGTGTTTCAATAGCTGTAAACTCTGGTGGAAAATTCTAGTTGTTAGTCCACTTTTGGACTGCAGTCCTGTTCCAGAACCTGAGTGTTGCGGGTGCATCCATTTAACAGATCTGATACATTTGTGTGCAGACTGTTGGTTCCTTGCCTCTCAGGTAGATGCACTTCGACTTGAAAGGAAGCTCCCAATTAGTTGACTTCTGGGTCGGCAGTGGGTCTATTGTTTTTGCTATATAATAAGGCCCCAGAACCCACATGGGGGGGGGGGGGGCTTAGGGCACATAATGCAAGACCCAAATTTGCATAGACTAATAATCGATACTGTGTGGGTGATGAGCCAATGTCAAGCTAGCTGCCTTTACTTCCCAAGTATCCATTTTAGGCTGGGTCAGCCTGGGGGCCAAGGTCAATCTTCATGGGACAAATATAGCTCGGGGCAGATTTAAACCTAAGACCTTCAGGAGGGCAGGCAGGCATCTAGCTACTACAGCAATTATAGCTCCAGGTCTCAGTTGTGTGACGTCAATACCCTTCTGCATAACAGATTTAACACCTTGACAGCCAAAACACTGTACACTCGGCCTCATGAATCCATCAATGTCCAATAAAGCTGGTACACAGCTGGCAAGGTAATAAAACAAAACACCCAACAGTTAAACAAAATTTACCCTAACCCCACAGCAGTTTCTGGACTATAAAATAATTTAACTGCAATAAAACTGAAAGCCGGGTTTACACAGATTCAAAATTACAAAATCTATACATAGGAATGCCGTATCCAACATAACTACTATCTATCATTTTATTACCCACTAACAAAGTAAGATAAATGACATACATGACTACAGCTCTGTGTTTTAGGACTTTATGGCTGTCTACACTCTCACAAAATAATTTATTTCATTGTAAAACAACAATAAAATGTATTCACTGCTTATTTCAATAAGATGATAGATGACCAATGTTCTTTCTCCCTTTGTCTCCCATGGGGGATGGAACCTCAACAAACTCAGACTAAGTCAAAGTGTATACTGTTATGAAATTTTCTGAATGTGTGTCCCGGCCAGCACCACATAAATCACTTAAATGTGCATATATCCTCTCCAAAACGCTAAATCTATCACACCAGTTAAACCGTGTACTCATGCTTTCTTTCAGACATGTTGCAGCTCCTTGCCACACAACTGCAGCCTGTGATCACAATATTATACAATAATTGTATTCAGTGACTTCAATTAGTGTGTGGCCCTTATGACAAAACAAATGTGGCCTATAAGGCCCTCCGGAGACCCTCAGTTTGAAATGTATCATCTAAATCAGTGTTACTCAGCTAAGGTAATGAAGAAAACAAATTGTGAAAATAGGGGGTCGACAGGGGCCACAGAGTCCCAAACCCAGCGCAGAAAGATCATTAATACAATTAAACTGGCAATGATCTGTGGGCCACCAGCTCAACAGCACTGATCTACATACTCTTAAGCACCGTGATGAATCTGTCTCACAAGAATGTTGTGCTGCTGGTACATACTCAACAATGCGCCCATTTTATCAGGTAAAGCTTGTGTGGGAGGAAGAATGACATATGTCGTCTGGTAGCAGCTGTTTGGGGAAATTTGTTCAAGCGCTCATCACTGGCTGTATCAGTACAACAACCAAACTATTAAACTGCCTAGTCAGCTCAGAGTGCGGATCTGTCAAGGCAAGCACTTTTGAGTTACTGCTTTTCTTGCAGCAGTTTCTGGTGTGTGTGTGTGTGTGTGGTAGCTTCTGGTGTGTGTGTGTGTGTGTGGCAGCTTCTGGTGTGTTTGTGTGTACCTCTGAGTTTGCGTGCACCTCCACTTTTTAAGTGTCGCTTACATGTATGCCAGCCTCTAGACCTGACCCTAAACATCATAAGTTTGAAGTTCATGAATGGATCATCTGTTTCTCAATACCTGTTTTTGAGATTTTAGCTGTCTAAGTACATGTTTTTTTTTAATCATAGCGGCTGTTGCCATGGCAACCATGTTTTTTGTTTAAAACTTGAAGTCTACAAATGTATCAACATACATCCCTACAAATGACCATTATAAAATAATTCGTCTAACATTATAAGTAAAAAAAAAATTTTTTTATTTTTCTTGTAGTAACCCCTTAATCTCTGACTCAAAGGAATCACTCCCAATTAGTCGTCAAGAAATATACATGTGGTAACAGAACGATGCACACAGAACGATGATAAAAGTAAAATGTTAACTACTGGAAGCCTTTTAAGAGACACCACACTTACTTCTCAGTGACATTTTGAGCAAAGGACACTATATTACTATACCATACTACACATTATCCTGCAGCATTTACAAATATAATAGCACACGATAAAAATATATACGTTAGGTATTCTTATAATAGCCCTTTTATAAAACTAAATTAAATTTATTCTGTAAAAAACAGAAAACATTCAATCGCCTAAGTAACATTTTCAGGTTACAGAATGAAGGCGTCAGCATGGACTAGTCCGCTAATATTCGGTACACTCTCAGAATAACACATAAATCTAGCGAAAAATATTCTTTGAAATAAAACACGGTGTAATTTTGAAACAACGAATACTAAACAACCTAAGTAAAACGTTTATGTAAGTAAAAAGTACGAAGAATGCGGCATGGGCCAGACAGATGTACCCGTAGTGGTGTACATCACAGAACAACCTCATTGTAAGAACCTAAAGCAAACAAAGTATCAAAACCACAAAAGTAAACTTGTTAACAACTACTCACAAGCATCGTGGGCGCTAGCAGTCGTCGTCAACAGCTGAACTAACCAAAAACCGACAACTTGACACAATCCAAACCGCAGCCTCAACTACACAACCACAACGGACTGAGATGTGAAATGGGGGCGGCGAGCCAGTAACAACACATGCGCAACACGCCGCTGACCTTTGTAAGTGTTTGACTCAACTACTTTGCCTGGGCCTTGCTTACTGTCGAGGCAATTTTTGCCTAGGTATGTGTGTTTGTGCTCGTGTGTCGACGGCGATTGGGCCGACCACGTTTTTTTTTTTTCTCCGCCCGTTTGTCTGCTGCCTCGCGTGCGCCGTGCGTAGCTTGTTGCGTGTGTTTGCTATCACTATATCATCACAAATGAAATACAAAAGTCTCTGGAGACGTACAGGAGAATAGGTCGTACGCACTTGGTGGAAACAAATGCAGCAAAACCTCACGAATTCCAAGAGAAGGAAAAGTCAAGACTAACTGCTAATCCAGGACTCAAGGATGTATTTACTTGTTAAAGTTAACGAGTGTTTGAGAGACCGTTGGTATTACAGAGCAAAATAAAAATTATGGTCCTGTTCACTATTCACGGTCAATCTACACACGGCTGATTCATACTTTCTCAGACTCTTCTACATCGAAGGGGTGCCACGTTATCTTTCGCCGTGCTCTATACTACATAACAGCTTTCAACGAGCCCAGAACATCTAAACTTACCCTAAACCAAACACCCTACCCACAGCCTGAGCTTAGGTAGCACAAGAGACTTTTCGGAAGAAAGCAGTACATCCCCTCTGACCTAGATGAGACTGAGAAAGTGAAGATGGGTCGAGAAACGTAAACAAGTCCAAAATGATAAATGTTTTGTAGTTATATTACAACTACTGAAACCAGATTCAAACCAAAGCCTTGTCCACACGTCCGGAGAAGGCGTTGTTTGAACCATAAGAGAAACAGTGAAACAATTAAGTTACACGGTGGTGTGGGACCAGAACAAAATACTGTCGGGCTCATATTGTCTGCCTGAGCCAGACAGCTGTTTGAGTGGCAAGATGACGTCAATAGACAGACACACAGCAGTTTCAGAGTTGAATCGACTAAACTGCGACTAAGAAGCTTAACGGAATGAGTCCAAAGTACATATCTAAAACAAAAAGACATTTCGCCCGGAGCCTTTCTCGACATAAACAACAACGACAATCAGTATACCTAACGCTGACTGCCAGTTGAGAGTTAGTTTAAGAGTGTTCATGGTTGTGTCGGC